GTGATATCATGAAAACTACGACGACTGTAGACAATGTGTTTTTGAAGGTCTGCTGGAATGGCAGATAACCATATAGAGACTATGCACTTGCGGAAGTTGACGTTAGGGCATGAGCACTGCTTTTTGAGAAATCGTTTGGCACTGAAAATATGCACAGCTCGCTCCGTTCAAAGGGGAAACAGCGAGAAGTGAGCAGTGGATGCTGGTTCCAGAACATCGAAACATGACCACACTTCAAAAGATATATTGCCTCTCTGGCATATTATCCAAATTTTCGGAAAGGTAGATGTAGAACATTCTCACTCTTCCCTCAGCGAGCATCATTAGCGTCTGTGGATTGATGGACGCTGCTTCAATTTACCAAGATGCATGTAGAGTTCACCATGCATAGCTGTTTGTGTGCGGGCTTGATTCTATTTCTTCAAAACAGTTTGCTTTTTGCGCTACAGCTGGCTGGCTCAGCCTCACAACCCAAATCCCATGGTTAGCTATGATGGTGGAAATTGTCAAGAATCGTACGGAGAAATGAACAGTCACGATCATGAATTCTGAGAATGCATAACAGTTATCCTAGAAGCTGCCATTAAGGCCCAAACAACTTCTTCTTCTCCCGCTTACTCGAGCAGCACGAACTCCCTCTAGATCCTTGAGCATATTTCTCCAATCCAATCTCTTCGGCAGGTAGATTACGAATGCCGATGGCGAAAAAAGGTTACTCTAGAGCTAGTAAACATAAAAAACAGAACTATATCAAATCTGCTTTGCAATCGCGTGAATGTGCACTCTACGCTTGAGTTTGTGCTTTAGAAATTATAATACTTAGATGACTTTCGCAGCCAATGTCGTCTTTTCCTACATTACCTCAGTCATCTTAGCCCAAAAGCGAGTCACCTACCAAAATTTTGCATTCCCACTAGTGGATTGTAACTGCTTGGTCCGGGCTGGCTAGCCGCTGCAGCGGCGGCAGCTGCTAAGGCCCTTCGAGCGCCTCCACCATTCGCTAGGAGTTGCTCCTTATTTACGCAGTTGAGCAAATCATTCGGAAACCGATTCAGGATGGCTCGGCGAACCTGAAGTGTGAGCGATTTGCAACGTAAACAACGTTCTTCGCTTTTACGCTCATTCTTGCAAATCGAATACCTCTTTTGCAGCATTCACTCTAAGTTCCTTACAGGAACTGTCCGAGAACCAAGAGGCGTGAGGTGTGTGTATAACATTTGGGCACTGGGAAAGTGGATCTGAAATGTCAAATACATTGAAGATAACCAATTTTGGTTATAAGAAGCTGAAGTGGAAAGTGTAAAAAATGCCAAGATGCAATTGGAAAACAATGTTATGCGAATGTGACTTACTCATCACATTTCCTTCATAGGGCTCTTGTTCATGTACGTCGAGAGCAGCACCTCTGACATGTCCCGATTTCAGGTAATTGGCAAGGTCAGTCTGAAAATGAAATAGTATCAAAACCTGAGACAGTAGCATTTGCTCAAAAACTTTCGCCCAGCTTCCATCAGTTTCTTTCGTTCCTCGCGAAAGCAAAGGCTTTTCATCCATTATGGATAGATAAGTTGGTACTAATCGAGAAGTTGCGTTACCGCTATACAGTATTTGTAAATTGTTCCTGATCGCGAAGCAAAAAGTAGAGGAAAATACCCAAATGAAGTAAGGTTCCTATCTGCAAAAGACGGGCTAAACTAAAAACGCTTCTCTTCCGTCGCTCACGTCTGCGACTTTTCGATTCTTACAATGTGCCTTCAATATAAAAGAAAGGACATTTCAGAGTTGACTAGCAACATATCATAAGGCTTCTTAAAAACTGTGGTGATCGGAAAAGGCAATGATGCGCGGCTACATCATTTTGAGAGGACTTGAAGATTCAATGGATATTCACCCATAAAGAACATTCGCTAGTTTCTCGAGGAGCAAACAGAACTCCACGTATAGGTAGCATCAATGAGGTTTGTATGAGTGCAAAGGAGTCATAATGGTTATGCCTCCAATGATGAGCATCGTTCAAAACTCATCAGTACCGTTACGTCGGCACAGCTTATCTTAACTTCTATGCTTCGATAACTGTTGTGAGATAGTGTGCATATCTTTGTGCGGAACAGCTACTTTCCACATATCCAACAAAAAAAAACAATAAGTAATTCTTTGACTCAAATTCACCTCATCAACGAGTCCTCCTCGACTTGTGTTGATAATGAATACACCGGGACGACATTGCTTCAGCGTCTGTTCGTTGATGATGTGGCGTGTCTCGTCGGTCAACAGGCAATGCAAGGAAATTGTGTCGCTCTTCATCAACAAATCATCCAGTGCGTAACACCTAAGTGCATTTCCAATGGATGCTTTAGCAGTAGTTTAGTAGGTTATGCTATCAAATCTTTTATCTACTACGTTTGAGATGCCTACATACCGCGCCGGCAGGCGCCGCCAGCCGCATTTGTGCACTCTCCAGT